ACGATAATATGGAAATCGATCAGTAATAAACTAAAAATATTGATTTTCTTCGTTTATCAAAATTCTGTTTCTTTTTTCTTCTTCTTACTTTATAAATGTCACTAAGTGGCAACATTTTTTCTGGACTTTGTTGAATAGCCATAGCTGTTAAAGCAATATATGAATATGGAGGTTTTTCATCGGAATATGAAGATTTTCCAGGACGTGGCATTGTATTTGGTATGTGTATGTGTATGTAATAAACTTATCGACACATTGAATTGTAACACCTGTATGATGTGTGAATAAGAAAGAAAACGTCAATTTGATTGGTAATGTTAATGTAGATTTTTTCTCCTTTATTTCAACCAATCCGATAGTCTTATTTTCTTCTTTTTTTTTGTATTCATCAATTTGTTTGTTCGTTCTTTTCTCTCTCTCCTTTAATATTAGACCTCCTCATGGGTATTGTAGACTTTTCACCTGTTGAGATATATATTTATGTGGAAGAGAAAGAGAAAGAAATAGATCAGGTTGAATGGCAAATACAATCAAATTAAAAACAAAAGTCAGAATGAAATGAATGTTTGAGCAATAAAATTTGTTATTACAATAATAAGGTGAGAAGAGAAATAAATTCATTCTTTACTCTTCCGGATCAATGAATGAAAAGAAAGAAAAACTTACATAGAAGCTTTAAAAAAATGTTTTTTTTAAGATAAAAAGATTTATATCAAATAAGAAATAAATTAATAAAAGTTATTGAGATTTTTTAATGAATTAATTAATGTAAAACTTGTTCTTTAATGATTCTATTGTAGAAATGTATAAAAAACAAAGTAACACTTTATTTAAAAAGCAATTTATTATAGTGATAAATTCATTCATTCATTCATTTGTCTTTATAAACAAATCATATATAGATGTTATAAATATATTAGTATCGATAAAGGTATCAAAGTAATATGAAGAATGTTGAAATGTTTATCAAGTTCAAATAGAAAACAACTATGGTTGAAAGTATAATTTAGATTTGACTTCCAAAAATGTTGAGGTTAATTAAGTCTGCATATATTTCTATTATTAATCATTTGATTAGATGATGTTTAAATAAATTTAATTGTCAAATGAAAAATGATTCATCAGTCTGATATCGAGGCACTAGGCAAAAACTAACTTTTTGATTCGTTTGGATATATTATAGAAAAATTATCGCATAAATGCTTCTTAGTCATCGATCTACTCGATTCATATAAGAAAACATCGGTAGAAATGACTATAATGTATTGACAGCTCACCTGCTACTATTTTTTAAAACAAATTGAGTTATTGATATGCTATGCAACTTTCAGTTCCTACAAAATGGTAGAAAAAATGAACTGTCGAAACGATACTTTATTTTCAAGTAGATATCATTATATATAAATAAAACGTGCACATTAAGACTGACATACTAACCTACGAGAATCAAGGCAACGATTGAGGTTTATTTTGCGATATAATATATTCATCTAAATTAGTGCAGTTTGAAGTGTCTCAAAGTCTAATTGCAACATTTGAATATATTCTGACTAGAAATTAGTCAAGATCGACTTTTGATGACTTCGCAGTTGCTATCAAAATAATTTTCTTCAAATATATTAAATGAGAAAAAACTAAAAGTTGAATAAAATGGCCGATGCAAATATTATTTATTACTCCTCTATCCTCTACAGATTTGTATTTTAATAAATAAAAATAATGATTGTTTTATAATATATGAATTGTGATACATTTGTATACTAAGGGCTGACAGATAATTTTTCCCTCTAAGAATGGTTCCTACAAAGTTTTAAAATGTTTCTATCTCTGATTTTGTTAGAATATTAATAATTTTCATTATTATGGTGTAGATGTGAGTTTGGGTGATGATCTTTTCGTTTTTCACACTCATATTTATACCTTCATATTCACATCCACACCCGGAATAACTCAAGAACCGAACAAAATTAAGAATAAAGAAAGAACTGCAGATGCAGAGCAACCAACAATTTATGATATACGATATTTACTTCTTTTCTATTGACATCCACCATCTGTACTGTTCTGGATCAGTACGCATGACTTTTATTATTTTCTTTGTAATCTATGATATACAAAATAGATCAAATAGCGAGGATAAAAAAACAGTCATGATTTTCATCGACATGATCAAATATATTTGTTGTTGATATATCAACATCCGTCAACCAATGCATTTAGGTGTTTCATATTGTATGATAAATATCTCTCGTTCAATGAAAGTCATTATTTAAGCATATGCTACATTTATTTCAAAACTGCATTTTATCTCTTCTCACTTTTTTGACGTTTAAAAGTATGGCAAAATCAGTATTATTATTCATTTCTAACTAGCACAACTCAAGTGTAAATTGAACAACGATGTTAAATTTGCGTGAGTTACTATACAGTGGATATGTCGCTTTATGTAAGTTAAATCTTTATCGTTCGAAAAAACCATTAGAAAATGTCGACAGAGAATATCAACTTAAAACTGAACTTATTTCTACTCGTCTATATATTTGTTTATTGCTTCTCTCATTCACCATTTTTTGTACCTATACATCTCTGGTATCAGTAACACATATAACTGTTGTTGATGCACCAATACTAGAAGATTACTTAAATCTCTATCAAAAATATGAAACAAAGTTGACCTGTCCTTGCACGAATATAGCTATTGCTCAAAGGGATTTTATATCACTGATTCCGACATTTCATCAAGTCTGTTATAGTGATTTTGTCAAGAAAAGTTGGTTATCTTATCTTAATGCTGCTTCTGGTAAGAATTTATCATCTGATTTTCGCAGTCAAGGAGGTGTGCTTTTTCAAATACTTGCCTCATTTTGTCGCCTTTCTCAAGATACGATTAAAAACAGTTTAAACCAATTTTATTCAACACGTTTCATATCGAATGACGTGCTAGACGAAGTATTACTACACAACCAAAGTCGATCACATATTGAAACATATAAGTCAGCAACTGCCAAGGAATTTGTTAACTCATTTAATAATATACGTGATGTAATTTCTGGAAATCAACTACTTTCAGGGTTCCTTACTAATTTTGACTTTAAAACTTCGAAATACAGTTCAAAACCTCAAGGATATTTAGTTTTATATGAATCGAAGGTTTATAATATGTCCGGTGGATGTAATTGTGCTGATACACCTTTATGTATCTTTCCTGTATCCATCAATGATCACATTACTGGTCATGTGATATTCGTCGTTCAAGGCCTCTATACAGGTTGTTTGTTTGTCGAAGCAATGCGTCAAGCAAATCTTCAATGTTTATATAATCAAACATGTCTTAATGAAATAAACAAGTATATTCGATCTTCTATATCATTTAATGCCACAGCACTCAATAGTTTTGCACCAAGTCGTTACAATACATCAACAGATATAAATCAACTCTTGACCGAGCTCATGGTAGAATCATGGATCGAAAATATTTCTCATTCTTCTTATTATGATCAGTGCCAACCCGCTCATTGTGTTTATACAATAGTTGGAAAAAATAGTGCCATTTACATTATTACTAAACTACTTGGTCTAATCGGTGGTGTTTGTAAGGTTCTCTACTTTCTTACACGGATTGTTGTCAAAATTATCCGACGTCGACGAGGTAAAATTATTTCTATTAAATTTTTAGTGGGTGTGGATGTGAGTGTGGATGAGATATACGATACGCGCATACGTACGCTACGCATCCACATTACCCGCACAAGATAGCTCTAGAAGAATTAATTGTATTCTAATTTACTTTTCTATATAACTTAGTTCTACCTTTCGTCTTTGAAAGTGGGTGTGAGTGGGTTTTATAATTACCTCATACTCTCACTCTGCTTGATGGATAGAAGCAAAAAATTAACGAACTCTATTCATCTTTTTAGCTCTTCAAACGAACATATCTTTTAAACAGAAATTACAAAATCTTGTTAGGAAGATCGTCAACCGCATTCGAATGTTAAATCTGTTTCCTTCTTCACCACCATCGACAGATGAATATAAATTGAAGACACAAAAGATTTCAACGTTTGTCTTTATTATTTTGTTAGTCATCAGTAGTTTCGTTCTGCTCGTATACACGGCTACACAGACTATTACCAACACAATAACTATTGAGAAACCGTCATTCGATAGATATAAAACATTATACAGCCAACAGCATGAAGAATTATCGTGTCCATGCTCAACAATTACCGGTGAATATAAAGATTTTCTATGGATTACACCTGTATTTCATCCAGTTTGTACCAGTGATTTTGTTCGTGATAAGTGGATCAATTATACGCTTCCACATGCTGCATCTAAGCTTGGTTTTCATCCTCAAGCTCGGGCAATATTTCATGTTTTGAGAATATTTTGTTTGCAAGCTAATGATACTATATCTACTGCGATCATTTCTTTTAATTCCACTAAAATGATTTCGATGCAACTACTTTCAAAAGAGATATTTCATAGGCAAATACAACAATTCATTGATACATTTATTAACTCGACAATGAGTATCTTTTCTTATGAACTTAGTTCTATCCGTACAATAATTCAAGCCAATTTCATCATGTCTGGACTTAATACACAATCTTACAATTACTTCGAAGAAGAAGGTTCTTCATTTACACATTTTATTATACCGGCTGAGTATGGCAGCTGTTCTTGCTCTGCATCTGGAAAATGTCAATTAAGTGCAGAAATCATTACTCAAAATAGTACACATTTCCGCCCTTTATACACAATACCAGGATTTTATGTTGGCTGTTATATTGATGAAGCACTATTGAGATCAACTCTTGAGTGTTATTTTAATCAGTCATGTCTCAAAGAATTTGTATTCTATCTTAATCACAGTAAATCAACCAATATCATGTCGCTTGATTCGAATATGATCAGTAATTTTAATACCACAAGTACAGTTGGCCATCTCGTCAGAAATTTAATGGTTGATCGATGGCTGAGTAACGATTCTTTCCAGGATTACTTTGACAAATGTCGTCCTTCGTCATGTTTCTATACGTTGACCATTATAACACCATTTATTGTCGCTGTTACTACATCAATCGGAATAATCGGTGGATTAATTAAAGTCTTACGTATTGCTGTACCATTAATTATAAAATGTATGAGATACCGCAAACAAGTACGAGAAACACGCATAGGTAAGTGTTTGGATGGCTACGTGCGAGTGAGGGTGCCTGTGTAATCTGTATCCACATTCATCCATTTTTTTATTTTGTTTTAACATAGATCTACGGACTCGTATTCGAAATCTCTATGAAAAAGCAAAACACACTTTACGAAACTTGAATCTATTCTACTCGACAGAGTCATCGGAAAATGAACGCACTGATTATCAAATTAAAACTGAACTCATTTCTACTCGTCTATTTATTTGCGTATTGTTTATCTCATTGAGCATTCTTCTTATCTATACATCTCAAGTGTATGTGACACAAACAATTCCGCTTAATACAACATTATTGAAAGATTATGAATCTCACTATGAAAAATATGCAGAAGCATTGATCTGTTCTTGTACGAATATAGCTGTTACCCAAAACAAATTTATTTCGTTAACTTCGGTATTTCATCAAGTCTGTGACAGTGATTTTGTAAATCCACGTTGGCGTAATGGTATCGACAAAACATACCTGGGCATTGGTGCGTATCAAAAAGACTTTCGATTTCGAGGTGCATCTACATTCGCTGCGCTTGATTCTGTGTGTTCTCTAGCTAAAACCAGCATTACAAACTCTTTGATTGATTTTAATTTGACAACATTTATTTCAAAAAATCTTTTATCACAGAACATGTTGTGGGCGCAAATGAATGCCAGTATTGATTTATATACTATGTCGATAGAATACGCCTTTGGTCGTTCACTTGAAATTATACGTGATTTAATACATGGTAATGGACTTATGTCATCAACTCTGTCAAGTCTCACCGTTAAATTGGAGCCTGAAAAAAATTTTACAGTTCAACCACAATACAAAACGTATGACGAAGGTCCAGATGGAGGTGAATGTTCATGTCATGATTCACCCAGCTGTAACGAAAGACAATACGTTTATTTAAATAGAAGTAAGCATAGTCGAGATATCTATGTACCAGGATTATTAATCGGATGTTATGGGTTTGAAGCACTATTACAGTCAAATTTAATTTGTTTTTTTAATCAATCTTGTATCGACGGTCTACGTAAAGCTATTTTATTCAAGGATAATTTCACTACTTCAGCACTTGATCAGTCGAAGTTGTTTTACTTTAATCCGAATAGCACAATCAGAAGTATGATGGAAAAAGCTATGGTTGAAAAATGGGTAAATAGTAGTAATTATGACGAATATTATAATCAATGCCGTCCGATTTATTGCAAATACACATATAAAAACAAAAATAATACTATATATATTATCACGACATTATTTGCTTTGATTGGTGGAGTTTCAACTGTACTAAGATTTATTGTACCTCGGTTTGTCAAATTACTTCGAAAAATTTTACTTAGACGGCAGCAACGACGTACTGCAATCGACACAGTTGCTTGATCATTTTCACTCATAAAAAAAACTATTGTCTATTTGAAAATATTTATGATTGTTCTATTGTGGAGTTCAGTCAAATACAGATTATTTTCGGATGAACTTATACAAGCTTTTAAGACTGGAGAAAAACGTTGTTGTTACGTTCTGTTCTTTCGTTTTTTATTCTTACTTTATACTAATACAAAGAATAAAGAATATAATATGATTACACGTCTATTTCATTTGAGGATGACTTTAATGAGGGTATAGATGTGAGTGTTGATGTATGTCTTGTCGATACATCCATCCTCAAAAAGAATTCCCGATGACTAGCATGAGTTGTCCGTATATGCGAGTGTTATTGTAGATGTGATCAACTATTTCATATAGTCTTTATGTTGTATGTACGAGAAAACATAGTTAGTAGACATCGTAACATCGTGAAGATTCGTAAGGAAGGGGACAAGTTTATCTAAGATAATGATTTACATATTGAAAGACAAACGCGTGAACAATATGCATTTATATATTCGTCGAAATACAAATATGTACTGGTGACTGTTTCGATATTCAGTGACCAATATCAGTTACATCAGATAATTGCCCTTCTGACAGTTTATGATCTAATATGACATCTGAAAAAATAGATGATACAAAAAGAAATTTGTTCTTACGAAAAAAGTGATTCATCACCTCGCTAGGTTGTGAGTGTGTGATACATAGTAGTTAGCATCATACTTATTCACACTCACTAAGATAACCACGTCGTTATCCATACCTACCATGGAGTTGTTCTCATGAAAATATTATTGTTATTTAATCTTTGCTATGGTTCGTATATTGAAATGAATAACAAGTATAATATCTAACGCCTCTTTGTTGTAAGTACTGAGAAAAGACAAGATTTATCTATCTTCAGACATACATATATATGTAATCGGTGAAATCCTAAAAAAGACTGATTACAAAAGCGGGTGTTTTCACATTAACTTCGAAGGAATCATGTTACTTTATTATCATGGATACTCAACAGACAAAAGCACTTTCACGTCTTTTCATTAATACTACTAAAATTTCACACCAAAAAGAATTCGTCAAAGGATAATGTACTGTGAAAGAGATACACTAAGCGTCTAATTGATGTATATAAGTTATGAAAGGACAGATGATGTAAATTGTTCGAATAGCAGCCAAACGTGATGTTTTATTGAATAATAATATTAAAGAGTAAGAATAAATATATAATTGACACAACAAAACTACACACTATATTCTGTTCGTATACATATAACTTCCTTTGTGGATGTCTAAGGTTCAGACTCTATTCCATTTTCGAGTCTCAATTCAGAATAATTTCTGATAACGTTACACGTTCTATTTCTATCAGTGAAGGTGTTGAGTTTGCATATATGCATCGACTCTCCTGATTTATGATCGAGATAACACTCTCCATGAAAACTATCAATTCAACAAAGAAAACTGTGTTCATCTCAAACTTGCAACCAATCATAAACCTTGTACGTTTTTTTCTGTATCACTTGTACAGTACATTTCTCTTCTTTTATTTATCAGATGTCTTCGAATTGAGAGATAGTTTCGAAAGAAGAGATCTGTGATGTTAATGAAATTAACATGGCTTAACGAAAGATTGAACATGCGTGAAAGAGGACATTCTTAAATAGATGATAACCAAAAAACAATTTCTTTTTCTCTGTCTCTCTCACTCTGTCATACAAAAGAGCGCGTGCTATTCTATTTATTCTTACATTATAATTTTTCTGAGAAAAGAAGTAAGAAGAATAAAAGAAACCCTATCAGGTGGGTCTAATTACTTTTTATTTTCACTCAAAAAACAGTTGGATGAAATGAACTTTGAAGAACTTAGCGGACATTTCATCTAAGTCACGACCAGTTACAGTGGAAAGTTCCGACACTAGAAAAACTCTTTTTGTTTCCTTCCTTTGATGAAAAAGTCCATGAAAACGTCATTTTTTGGTTACGCATATTCTTCGAAATTATTTTTCATATTTTATAATTTCAAACGAAAGTTTCATTGAACTATAGTCAAATCTAAAATGTTAAGTCGTCTCGTTTTCATTTGTCAAAAATGAGTTTAATTTGCTTTTGAGAAACTGTTATCTTAACGACTGATTCGGTGTTTTCACAAGATCTCTAAATTGAAGTAACTGATTCAGTCCGGCTACATCTTATTTGCTAAAAATTAGAAAATTTTCAAGCGCTGGACATTACTAAATCTCAGTCTATTCGAAGAAAACTTCTGACTCTTGTACTAAACAGTTTCCTTCTGAACCCAGAAACTCGCATGTTGATCGTGCGACTAGGTCGGATAGGCTATTCCTAACTAATCTCTGACGTACGTTAAGTGTTTTGAAGATCAAGGGTCTACCATGTCAGTATGTGATAAATACATTCATTCCTACCTAAATAATAATGAATAAATACTAGCAACCATCTAATTTCGATCTTCACCTTTGAATCGCTCACAACACGTCATTTTGTTTCGACAATACCATTTGTTTTTTTATAGAGTATTTTATTGCCAAATTAAAGCATCTTTTGGAAGAGGCAACTGGATCCTTTTGACAGAATGAACGTCACTGATAATACACAAACACAGCCCATACCGTACGCCGTGAAACTCACCATCTTCGTACTCTTTTCTGTCTTCGTTTTACCCTCATTGTTCTGCTTTTTTCTTAACTTCTATTATTTCATTCGCTTTCGTCTCCAACTTATTTTCAAAAATCTTCACTATCATTTCATCATCTGCTTGCTGATCTCCGATTTTTTGTTAATCGTCACACAAGCGCCACTTATGTTAACCAATCTCTACGTCGGTTCCATTCCAGAATTTCCTCAACTTTGCACATTCTGGATTTACTGTTCCTACACATTATTCTGTGTCTCCGATTTACTCACGATGTTCACCTCGATCCACCGTTACTTTCTGCTGTTTCATAAAGCTTTCTACATAAAGTGGAAATCGCTTACTCACTACTCCACTCTTCTTTTCTGCTGTCTATATCCGCCGATCCATTATGTATATTTCAACTTATTCTACCCATGCACGAACACCTACGACTATACTCAGCCTCTGTGTGGACAGGCCTGTTTTACTTACGTAGTAATCTTGGACACCATTGATAATATGGTGAATATTCTTTTACCAGTCTCAACAATCGTTGTCGTTAACTGTATGATACTGACTAAAGTGATCCTAATAAAACTACGAATAGCGTCAAACAAGAGCAGTTCGAGTTCTCATGATCGCACTTTCTGGAAGAAGAATCGTCGATTTATCATACAGCTCGTGACCATCGCGTCGGGTATATCTCTAGCTGGGCTACCGTTCGTCATTTGCGCAACCGTGCAGACGTTCGACAATACATTTATTTCGACAAATGTCCTCACACTTCTCAACTACCTCCCCTATTTCAATTGTTTGCTTACTCCCTTTCTCGCCGTTGTCACTTTACCGAGGGACATTAAAGGCAAGCCAGCCGTATTAATCCAGTGCTGCAGTCCGAAACGAGAAGCAAAGATACTATCAACTAAAAAATCACCAACAATGGAATTCATACAAAATAACATCGAACTAAAACCACTGTCTGTGAATAACGTTTCAGTTATAGTAAGAACTGCAGTGGATGAATTCGCTTGCATATAATTTACTTGAAAAAGATAGTCAAAGTCTGAGGCTCTCTCAATACTTCTTAATAAAATTAATCATTCCTTGCAAAACATGAAACTGTTTTAGCTATAAAATGTAAATTATATTTTTTTTTGTTGTTTTTATTATTCGTCTTTTTTTCTATATATAATAAACAAGCAAATATTTAAAGAGACAAGGTTTCATTGTTTTTTTTCTAATAAATGACAATTGATTTTGGTTGTAATAATGCATCCCAATCCGTTTGTTGTTCAACATTAAATACTTCATCATTAAGCCATTCTTCATAATGTCGTTTAAATGCTTCAGGTAAATCTTGATCACCTAGATTATTATTCGATGAAAGTGCAGTTAATAAATCATTATTTAAAGGAGTAAAACTATCAAAATCGAATTCATTTGCTGATGCATTCTGTGTACTAGCATTTGCTGGATTATTAGTATTATTATTATTTGCATGAGCTGCTGCTATACGATGATAACGACGTTGATTAAATAGATCAATTTTATTTCTTAATGCTCGTTCTTCTGTTTGAAAATCCCATGTTTGAGTTTCTTGTTCATTACCATATGCCCAATCATCATTAAGACGATGTCGAACACGTTGATATATAGCTGAAATAGCCATCATATTTGATTTTCTCCATTGTCGACCAAGATAACGTGTTTGTAATTTTAATAATTTTAATGCATATAATTGCATCATTGCTTGTTTAACACGTAGAGTTTTGCGAAGAATTGGAGCAGATTTAACGGCGACAAGAACCTAAAATTAATTTACAAAATAAATATTTTTAACCTATATTGAAATAAGGTTGTATCATGACGAGTATTAATTATGCAAGAGAATAATTAAATTGAATAAATATATTTCTCACCAGACTTTATAATAGTGCTCATACTTAAACTACTCTGCTCTATCCTCCTGTACTTTTCAATTACAAAGATATTTGTTTGAAAATGAGAAAAAAAAGACTAACCATTGTTCTTGCATGTTTTCCTTTGGTTAGTTTATTTAAAATTCGAAGAAGATTTATTGATGAAAACATATTTCTCCAACAATAGTTTTCTGTTTCTGGTACATCGAATAAATCAGCTGTTAGTTCAGGTTGAGGTCCAATGACACATGTTGGGAAATCAAGAGGTGGAATTCTAATTCAATGTAAAAATTAGTTTGATTAAAAGTAATTTCATTTTCTTTTCTTACGTATTTTTTGCTTGTATATGTGAAAGAATATTATGATTGAAAAATTTTAAGATAACTGTTATACAATTTGAAAAGACAAGATTTTGACAGATATATTCAAACTAGAAAAAGAAAATTGATTCAAATTTTATATAAATAAATTATTTCTATTCAATACCTGATAGATATGATTAACTTTGAGATGTTTTAAAAGAAGTAATAAAATAGCTGAAACAGCTTTGACAATCATTTCCTATGAATTAATTATAATATATATATATATATATGAAAATGTTGAAATAATTCTTTTATACTTTATGTCGATTAATATCAAATCCAAGTTTCATAGTTTGTACCATTGAACATGGCATTTCTTCTGGTATAACATCACAAAGTATATTAATAGATTCTGTCTTTGGTTTAGCAGTTGGTGTTGATGTTAAAAGTAATTTAAGCAAGGCAATCTAAAGAATAAATTTCAATTCAATTCAATTCTTTATATTTTTACTTACAAGAAATTGTGGTATTTGCATAAGTGTTGCTCGATATAATCGTTCAGCAGCAGTATCTGGTACATTAGTTTCTTTCTAAATAAACAAATAGATTTTATCAAGATTCGCCGTTTCTCAACTTAAATTATGTATTTTTTACCTTTGAAAGTGGATATTTAACAATATCATCTTCGATTTTGATCTGTACTTCTGATAATGGAATATACAAATGCTATAAAAAGAGATTTAAAGCTATGAAAAAAAATTTCATTAATTAAATTTATACTTGTTTAAGAATTTTAATGCTTTCATGAATAGGTTTTGGTAAACCAATTAATGTTGTTAGATCATCTTTTATTGAAAATCCAACAAATTTCTTTCGAGTATGTTCAAGAAATGTTTCTAAATCTTTTTGTCTATTTCAAATGAAAATTATATTATTTATACTAAAAATTATTCATTTTAAAATTTTCTTTATACCTAACTTTTGGTACCCAAGGTAATTCTTTCATAAGTAAAGTTGATGCTGGATCAACACTTGATGCATCACTAGCTAATGATAGTGTTGATTCAGCTGAACTAAGCGATGGAACTGGTGTTGATGGTGCAATTGTTGAAGCATCTTCATCATTTGATGTATTATTACTAATATTATTTGAATTTGTCGATCCATCATCTGAAGCAACATCAGAATCCAAAGCAGATTGTTTTGTAAAACTCTATTCAAAAACAAAAAAATATTAACGATGAAAAGTAAATATAATATTTATTTACTTGTCGTTTAGCTCTTCGAGCACTACTTCCACCTTCGGTTTGACCTTGCATTTCTAAGCATTCTGCACCTGCTAATGGTGGTAAAATTGGTGGCATTCGTCCAATAACTTTCGCTGGATTTTCAGCAATAAAATCAAGACCATGTTCATGTCGAGCAGTATTCTTTTGTTCAAATGCA